TAATGGTAGATTAATTTATGTAATATTGTGTTTAGTAATAATAAAATTTACATTTATTCTGTCAAAGAGTATTGTCATTAAATTTTAGTTAGTCAAGTCGTGTCCATAACAGGCGAAAATACTGAGTGCCCCGACCAAGAGGTGTTTTCGAGTCGGTGGCATAACAATTACAGTAAGAACTAGAAAAACTATTTTTAGGGGGGTAGATTTATTTCTTCTTCATCGTATGAAGTATTTTCTTCAATTATAGTTGTATATTTATTTTAATTAATTAAATTAATTATTTAACTTATTAAAAAAAGAAAATTATTTGCCTATGGATAGATTTATAAATATCATATTTATTTAATTATTATTGCGCATAAATAAATTCAGGACCGATAAACTTTAAATTCATACTCAAATTTTTCATGATGACCTTAGTTTTTGGCTAATAATTTATTTTTGGGGAAAAAATATCTAATTTTCGTCGATTACTAAAAGGACGGTTGATCCATTCCCCGCCCACTAATATAATGTATGCCGTGGACTAATATTCGTAAGTATGTTTTCTAATGTTACAAAAAAAAAAATTTACACTTAAATTTCTGACAGATTTCCAATGAATATTTCCATTATTATTTACATGTAAAAATGAACACAGTAAAGTTAAAATTTAAGTCTCATCGCCCGTTAATGATAAAAATGTTTTTACAAATTCAGATAAGAGATTGCTTATGGTATCCTGGTGTGTCGATAACAAAGTATAAAATAACTGGTTTTGATCGTCGGCGAGGTAACAGTTGAATTGTGTGGGTAATCAGGTACCGCCGCCCAAAAGAAAATTGTGGGTATTAACTATTTTAAAAAGCTTAAAAATCGTATAATATATCTCATATGATGACAAATAATTGATAAGAATCACTAATTAGAACTTAATATAATTTAATGATTTATCAGAGAATGTTAACATTGTGCTCCCTCAGTTTCTTCTTCTTATGTGTTCAATCCTAAGATTTGTTTGTGCAATTCTGCACTTTTCCTTATTACTTGCCTTCTTTTTTGTCTCTTCGTAAGAATTACACCCTTAATTCTGAATTATTTGTTGCATATAATCTATTCATAGACTTCCCCTAGCATTTATACTTTCTGTGCAGCCTTCTATAATTAATCCCAACAACTCACTATGTTTCAATACATATTCCATCTATTCATTTCTCCTTTTCTTAATACCATTTCCCCTCAGATGTATAATTTTAAGGATATTTTTCGTTTTATTTCTAACACTGACGTTGAACTAAATTTAAATAATAATCTATTGAAGCATTATTTGAAAAGTTTTTTAAAATTATTTATCAATCTTTTACTGTATTTGTTTCCAAAATTAAAATTTATGGTATTTACTCACCCGTTTGGATAAATGCTGAGCATATGAAGCTATTATTATTAATAAAAAATTTGCACACAAAAAATATAAACTTAGCCCTTCCTTTGCAAATTATCTTATATTTTCTAATATTTGGAAAAAATGCAAATTTTTTATTTTAAGCTGTCGTTCCCAATATATTATTAATATTGAAAATAGTATTCAATCAATTATAAAACCTTTCTGGAAATATGTTAATTCCCTTAGAAAATCAAATAGTATTGTGCCCGATTAAGTTAAACATATCAACAGCTCATATACTAATATTTTTAAAATTGTCCAACTATTTAATAATTATCTTTCTATTTTTTATTTGGCTAATTCAATTAATCATAGTTTACAGACCCAAATTTTAAATGATGCTTATAATATTAATGTTAAATATGAATTAATATGAATATTAGTTCTTGGATTATTGATTATAATAAAATTTTTAATTTATTAGGTAGCTTATATGCGTAATGCTTGTATACGCATACCTGCATACGTATTTAAGCATAAATAAACCCAACTCAACCGGACGATCACGATTTGACGATGTTCCATCATAACTAGAGAATTAACTAAACTGACTTCCCCTTATATATGTAAAAACCAGAATGGATTTAGGCTAAAGATGTTCATTTGTATTTTGAACAGGATTAATTTTATATTGTGTTATATTTTTGTATTATACTTGATTTTATTTCTTACATTCCGTAAATAAAAGGAAACTGTTCAAAACCTGCACTTGGTGTAAATACTTCACATATAGTTGTTAAAATTGTGTGTGTGTGTGCGGCTAGAGTCATGGTTACAATGCTGGTCCTTTAGCCGGTCTTAACAGTTAGAATTTGGGAAGAGCCAAACGACGAGTTTGATGTTTAAAGTGTTAATTTATTTTGTGTCGCGATACTACCGTTGTATGACAACACATAAACAAATAAAATCAATTCAACGAAAACTGAGAAATTTAGTCAGATAATAAAAAACGCACATTACAGTAAAACCAATGTCTTTTCAGTTTCGCAACAAAACGAAAAGATCATTAAAAAAAATGTATTATAAATTTCTATTTGAATTTAAGAAAATTGTCTAATCAACCAACAAAAAAACTTTTATATACGTACATAAATTTATACACACAACTAATTGTGGAGTAATATCAATCAATATACCTATTATATAACATCTTTCTTACTAAAACATTATTTTATTATTATTATTAAAGGTTTGGAATAATCCTACAAATAAACAGACTATATATTTTATATTCCCTATCCACAGACTGTATAAATCCGAATAATATCCCCAAATTTGATTCAAAATTCCCAAATATAATGAAAATCAGCTATTGGTAAATTTACTCTCCCACTACAGATACTTCTTTCTACTAAACTAGTTTATAAAAAACGGTAGCACAGTGGGGTCGCGGCATAGTGGAGACATTGCATAGTTGGGTCCAGATAGATTTAATCTGACAGTGATTAAAATCACTATCATAAGAAACGCTTCGATGCAAATCTGTAGATAGTGTTTAATTTTAAAAAATTGATGGATAATTGCAAAATTAACATCAACTTCTATTAAAATAAAATACAAAACCCATAATTTGAATACAAAAATAGCATATTTTTGAATACGGCAGCCATTTGCGTATAAAAGATAGGTCGTCGGGACAAATTTTTTTTTTTCATTTTGTAGTACATAAAATAAGCTTTAATTTTATATATGTTTGAAGGACGCAGTATTTCCGGAACATTTTCAAAAATTAAGTTGAAAAAGTTCATTTTTGTAAAAAAGTTACTATTTTAAATCCCCCCAGTGAACAGAATAAGTGTTAGATTTTCAAAAAAAATTATATCAAATGAAAGGGAAATATCTAAGGTTTCAATACAAGAAAATATTATTTTTATTTGTTAATTTTTGAAAAAGTTATGACAGTTTTAAGCACAAAAAACATTCCGATAAAAGGTAATATTTATCGCAAACATTACATTTTTTTTTAATTTTCGACAGCCATTTGCACATAGAAGATAGATCGTCGGGACAAATTTTTTTTTTTTATTTTATAGTACATATAATAAGCTTTAATTTTATATATGTTTAAAGGACGCAGTATTTCCGGAACACTTTCAAAAGTTAAGTTGAAAAAGTTCTATATTTTTTACAATATTTCAACATTTGAACGCCTCCTATATAAGGGGAAATTGTCCAATTTTAATAAAAAGTATGTCAAATGAAAGATGTACTTATAATGTATTTAGAAAACAAAAATTGTGCTGATATATACATTTTTCAAAAAGTTATAGCATTTTTAAGTTGAAAATTAAAAATCGAAAATCGAAAATTTTAACACAAAAATAGTGTTTTTTTAACTACGGCAGCCGTTTAAATGTAGAAAAAAAAGTGTCGGGACAAATTTTTTTTTTTCATTTTATAGTACATAAAATAAGCTTTAATTTGATATATGTTTAAAGGACGCAGTCTTTCCGGAACATTTTCAAAAATTAAGTTGAAAAAATTAATTTTTGTAAAAAAGTTGCCATTTTAAATCCCCCCCAATGAGCAGGTTAAGTGATAGATTTTCAAAAAAATGATATCAAATGAAAGGTAAATATCTAAGGTTTTAGTATAAAAAAAAATTATGTTGATTTGTTGATTTTTCAAAAAGTTATGGAAGTTTTAAGAAAAAAAAGTGAAAAAATTTCGAAAATTAGCGATTTTTAAATTTGTAATTTTTTTGGATATTTCCCCCATTTACGGGGAACGAGGGAAATTTTTTCAATTTTTAAGGGTAATGTCTTCAACTAGATACGATTTGTGATCTTTTGACGTATTTTTCAAAGAAATCGGTCCAGTGAGAGCTGAGAAAAAGTGGCAACAGACATAAAAAAAAAAAAAAACACATCATAGTAAAATTAATACCTTCTCCGCTACGCATCGAAGCTAAAAGCATATATGTATACTTTCACTTTCATTTTAAGGATTTTTTACAACATTATTTCTATATTGTACCTATGTAGTTTTATTTTACGTCATTACTAAATAGTAATAAAAATTATTCAGAGTAAAGACAAAATTTTAAAGAGCTCATTTTAAAACAATTTTCATTGTATAAGGCTCCATTATTTAAATATGATGTTCAGAATTTAAAATAAAATTTGTATACGTTAAAAGTTATTAAATATTAAACATATTGGAATTTATTTCAAAGTTATAATACATTTTTCTTTTATCTATTTTCATAAATTTATAAATTACTAAATAAAACTAATTATAATTATAGCAAGAAATGGTACAATCACATTATTCTTTAAAAGTTTTAGGCATTGAAAATTTGTGATTAATAACAATAATAATAATGAATAAAAGAATAACAATATTAGTTATAATATAAATTGATATTTGTAATCAGTTCCAAGAAAATATTGAATAGTGGAAATACACTTAGATAATTTGTACAAATGAGTTAAGTAACTGACAATACTAGATGAAATTATTTATCAGCTTTAACTAATATAATAACTCAAACATTTTTTTTTTATATGAATTTAAAAACAATCAAAATTTCCAAAAAACAAAAATATTACAATTCATTTTATATATATATATATATAACTTGATATACAATAAAACATATTAAAGATTATTTATATTTTATAAAAATACGACAATACAATTAAACTTTACAAAAGGGAGGTGTTTATATATATATAAATATATAAAGACACGATGATCAAAAATACTGATATTTTTAACTTCTGCTTAAAATTCTTATAAGATCTGAAAAAAAAGTATTATTCTTACATTAAATTTCTCATTACAAAATATTGCCTTTTATCAAAACATATTTTTAAATAAACTACTTTTTTATTTGGATAAATTCAATATCCAAAATTTGGTATGATTCTTAAATAAAAAAAATGTGAAATGTGGTTAAATAGAATACCATTATAATAAAATATAAATTATAATTACATTAGAATTGTAATACTAATATTTAATAAAATAGGAAAGTGATAATGGTACATAATATATTAAAAATACTTTTTAAATAAACATGTATGAAGTAATTCTAATTTTGATTGAACTTAAATATTTCATATTATAAGTTCAAAGACAACTGAAATAACTTATATAATAAATAGTTACCTTGTTTATCTTGGTCACTAAATTCAGTCTTTGGAAATTGAATGTTAATAGTGATGATAAGAGAACCGTGTAAATTATTATTGTCATAGTTTGGCATTCCTTCACCTTTCTTTCGAATTTTTGCACCTGGCCAGGTTATTTTTTCTCTTTCAATAATAATCTTACGTCCATCTAATTGTGTAATTTCAGTTTTGAAGCCAACTAGAGCATCCTATGAACATTTTTATTATAGAAAAACTTTAATTCTAAATAAAATATTAATAATTCACAGTCTAGAACAAATTTTTTTTAATATAAATTAAAAAGGTTATTTCTTAAGATAAAGAAAGAAAATTTCATTAGTAAATATAGCACCAAAATATAATTTTACATGGAGTACATTTGGTTACTACTCCATTTATGTTACTTTTTTCATTGAAAGAATATTAATTGCTATTTCATTATTATTATTAGTCGTTAATTAAATCTATTAACTTCCCCAGTAAAATTTTAAATTAATATTTTTTACATTTTTTTCTATTTAATTTGAAAAACTACTAATAAATTTATTCTAAGTTTGCAGTTAAAATAATTATTATTATTCTGTGAAATTAACTTATTACTTAAAATTATAATTACACATAAACCCTTTAACTTAAATTTTTTTTAAATAACTGTTTAAATTTTGGTATACCTTTAATGAAATTGTTAAATTTGTATATAAATCGTCACCCTTTCTTTCAAATACACTGTGGGGTAAAGTCTTTATTTTGAATATTAGATCACCAGGTTCTCCATCAATATGTGGTTCACCTTCAGCAACAAATTTAGTTTCTTGGCCGTCTTTCATACCAGGCTCTACTTCAATTTCTAACATATTTTCTTCTGTTACCATTCTAAAATAAAACAAATTCAATAAGAACTAGATATTTTATTAATCATATTATACCACTAGAATATTCATTTTTCAAATAAACTGCAACAATGTCATAATAATTTGATCTAAGGAAAGTTTGAATTTTTAATTAATTACATTTTAAGTCAAATTTCATTTCACGATAAACTTAAATTCTCTAAGTTATACCAAAATGGAGTATAAAACTAATAACCTAGTCATTAAAGCTATAGCAAAAAAAAATAGAGCATTAAAAATGAGTTGACACAAATAAAAACTATAAAATACACACACTTTTTTGTAGCATAATATTTTTAATGTTGGGAGAAAGGTTTGAAAAGGGACATTTATTATTTACAAAAGCAAAGGATATATCCTATTGGTTATTAACTACAAACACTATATTTATATAACATTGACTTACAAATTTAGTAAGGATTATTGCTCTTATACTCTATGACTTTAAAATACAAAAAAATTGCCAATTGTACCGAAACATTTATAAAAGAGCAAGGAAATAGTTGACTGTTTGAACAAATTGCCAAAATCAAACTATAATATTATTAAATATTTATATAAAGTTAAATGTTTGTTAATACACGAGTCATAATATTACTTGAATACCAAAAATGATAGGTACCATATCCCTACCATTTTATTTTTTAATCTCAATTATATTCTATTTATGATCATAAATGTGAATATATTTCATATATTTAATAATATAAAATTAAATGTAATATATTTTATATATATTATATAATATGTATTACATTATAATACAACATGAAATAAAAATACTAACTTAACATTTGGGCATTCATCACAAACATTTTGTTGCATCATTTGAAAACGACCTGGGCCTAATTGTTTAGTGATCATTTCCTGGCGACAGTTGCACTGTCTTGTACCAGAAGCTGGTCTAATCACAGGTTTATTCCGGGTTACCTACAATTTGATAAAATAATACAAAAGTTTCAAATAGAAAATATTAAAAATTACAGTAAATGATGTTAAAAATACCTGTACAAAGTTTCCATTATATAATTCTTCTAGTGTAACAGCTAAATCTAATACAATTGTACCACCTTTAGGAGTTTCTTTATGTCCAGGTGAATCATCAAAATGAAAACCGAAATCGCCAAAAAAACTAGCAAATGGATCATGACCACCACCAGCCATGGAATCTTTTTTGACACAATTTGCACCACATCTATCATAATCTTTACGCATTTTTTCATCAGATAAAACTTCATAAGCATTTCTCAACTCGGAAAATTTTTCGGCAGCTTTTGGATCATCACGGTTTTTATCTGGATGAAGCTCTTTAGCCATCTTACGAAATGCTGATTTTATTTGATTCTGTTTGGCAGACCGATGTACATTTAAAATTTCATAATAATCAGTCCTGTAAAAAAAATATATAATCAACATATCAATAACTAATTGGAAATACTTAGTGGCTAAGCATAATTAGAGAAAATGAAACAATTTTTACTTACTTAAAATACTGTCAAATAGTTTAGTTTATACATATGAAATATAAAGTAAAATATTTGTAAAAATTAATTTTACTGTATCTATTCTATAAAAATATAATGTTCATATTTATTAATCGAGGACTGTATGAGCTATAGGGTCAAGTGGGGTAAATGGAAATTGGGGCAAAAGGAAAAAAATATTATTTAAAATAAATTATTAGTGATTATAGAATTCGATATCATTATAACCACAGTACACATAAGGTATAATAGTGTGCAATGATAAAAATATGGAAAATTTGAGGATATGTATAAATTGTTATCACTCGAAAAAGTGTTTATGATTATTTTAGATTATATTTTCTGCTCAACGGCTTTTGAGAAGGGCATCTTCATCAAAAATATAAGTAGAACAGTACAGCTTGAACTAAATTGTCATTTCATATTTACTTATTTACTATACGGCCCTAAAACTAGTTTAATATCATTTTTTCTATGGAATTATATATTTTTTGTAAAATACAAAATAAAAATCAATTGGGGTAAATGGAAATATTAATAACAAATATAATTTGAAATATTACAATCTTTATCATTTTTTTTTCAACTTAAGAGTGCGTAATTATATAAAAAAAACATATTAACAGTTGTAGAAAATCAAATTTCATTAGAACCTTCAACGTCAAACACTTTTATAGACTAAATTTTTCCAACATCAAATAATAATATCTCAGTAAGCCCAAAAGATATAATATCTATTTTTTCAATTCAATTAATACAATATAAAACTAACAATACAATTTGTGTTACAAAAGACCGAGTTCCTCGTTTTAGAGTAACAAAGTATGGTGAAGTTTTAACAAATAAAAATGTGTTAAAATAATTGGAGGAAGCAACCTCAAAGAAAAAGCTAATCAAATATCCTAGTAAACTTGGGAGACCTAAGAAAGCTACTAAAGATAAACAAAATAATGTGTTGGAACAATCAATTGATAATATTGATGATGTAGTTTATCATTCATCAGAAGATGATTGTAATGACAATTCATTAGATTTAAGTATTGAAGAAGTTTTATACAATACACCAATTTGGTCTCAAATAAAACCTGAAGTATTTCTTTTAATAGATTTTATTGGAAGGAACCGTAAGAAACAACATTTTAAGTATGTATGTTTAATTAAACGTGTAGATGAAGATGATGGGGATATTTTAGACCGAGGATTAAAAAAAAATAATGAAATTGGAACTGATTTTTATATTGTTGAAAATGACTTGTCAGATATTACAGTAGCTTTTAAAAATTGTAACATTGATTAGGCTCTAGTAGTTTAGAGCACTGATTGGGTTAATAATACAGATATTTAGATATTAATAAATTAGACAAAATAGTAGAGGAAGAGAAGCAATGTTATTTAATTAAATTTTTATATTTTTTTTTAAGACAAAATAAAATAAGCTGTAAGATCATTACTTAATATTATTATTTTAACTCCGATGAAATATTGTATAGATATATAGCCATAAAATAATTTTTGTTGTATAAAGATTTAAATGGAGCATTGATCGCAAAATTTTAATTTTTATGATTTTACAGAGAACTCGAAAAAAAATACTTACTCGCAATATACTACAACGAAACAACACGTCCATAACCACAAAGAAGATCCATAGTTTTTAAGAATCATTTTTAATAATTAAATTGGTAAATTGGTCAATTAAAGATAAGTTCTATACTAGATTTTTATAAACTAAATTTTAAACATTTTTCTAGAACGTTATAAGCGTTATTGTGTGAAGGTTTGATATTGTATAATCATCGGCTAAGTTATCTACTGTATAATTGTAATCATCAGTAATGTGGGCGACTTTGATTGGTTACTCGAAAAACTTATGGAGGTCTAATCACTATTACGATATCACTATTGCCTCCATAAATACGAGACATCGATTAATAAAAATGAAACGTCATTTCATCGAATATTATATATTAAAATATACATTATAAAAAATGGACATAAACTAGTTTGTTATTTTTCTAATACTTAAGTCTTTTTTATGATTCCTTTTTAATAGAAGAGGGGTAATTGTGGTACTTCCCTCTTTTCTATAATAGGACTATTCAATTTGACCTAAAATATTGACAAAATAATTGAAATAGAAAATTATAACAATACGAAAATTGGTGATTATTTACAACAATATAACATTTTTTGTTTAATCTCAGGACCAGTTTACATAAAGAAGGAAAGATGTCAACCTTTTTATATGCGATCTTAACGTAGATATGATTGCAATATTTTGATCATTGAAAAAAATTTTTTTCAATGAGAGCTATAAAAAAGTGGCTAATATCTTTCAGCATTGCATCGAAGCTAAAATAATTTCTCGTTGTGATTCTCTAACTGACTTTTTACTTATTTTTTTAAATTAAAACTGAAGTTTTTAAAAAATAATAGTGTAGTCAATATCAATATGTACAAAACGATTTTAATCTAAAAAAAATAAAAAAGGTTTTTGTTATCATTAATATTTTATTACTTTTCTGTTTTAAAAGTTGAAAACTTTTAGCTTCTTCGACTAATAATAAATCCATTTTAAGTAATTTTGGAAAAAAAAAGTTAAGAATAAAGGATTAAGAAAACTTTAAAATGAGTTAAGTTTAAAAAATGTTTAATTTATCGCTAAGTTAAATTCATAACTTGTTAATTTATCGAAATTGTTCCTACTTAACTAAATATTAGTTTATTATTTCTATTAACCCATCTTTTATTATTATATTATAATAGTATACAATATAAAAGGGTTGGGCAACTGGCGGCCCGCGAGCCTTTTTTAGCTAAATTTTCAAATTGCATCATACAATCTTAAAGTTTATTGTCTACACTCTATTATCTATAATGCATAGTCTATAGTCTATACTCTATCTTATCGATATAATGAAAGTTGTCTGGTATTGAACATCGTTAAATTTATAAATGTCATAATATAGTTACAGTATATACACATACGTATAGCATTGAACCATAGCTGTATATACCGACCTATTTAATTATATCAGTTTCTTCGTATCGTTCGTGTTATGCTGTCGTGGAATTTATTATTTTCGTGTTTTTGTAGTGTTTGAAGTGTATGAAGAGCTATTAGAATTATGTTCCTTGCATGGAATAACCAAAGGAAGTAATATATTTAATGCAATAAAAGACGCATTTGAACCATTTGATGGATTCAAAAAAATGTCATCGATTGTGACAGTTGATGCTAAAACCATGGTTGACAATAATATTGGCTTTGTTGGATTATTATGCAAATCTAACATTAATGTTTCTGGTATACATTATATTATTCATCAGAAACCGTTGTGTGGAAAAATAATGAAGTTTGACGGAGTTATGAATACTGTATTTAAAATTACTAATCTCATTAGAGGAGGCAACCATAGTTTAAACCACCGTAATTTTATTACATATTTGGAGGAACTTTATTGTGAGTATGGTGATTACTATTACACATGGATGTACGCTGGTTAAGTCGTGGAAAATGTCTTGAACGTTTTTCTGTTTTAAGAAAAGAAATACTTCATTTTCTGAAAACGAATATTAAAACTGACACTACGTATTTGGAAAACCAAATGGTTGATAAACAATTTTTATGTTCATTGGCATTTTTAACTAATATTTCTCAACATTTAAATAAATTAAATTTACAACTTTAGGTAAAAAACAAATAATTTCTCAAATTATTAGCTTTTTAGATGGATTCCGAAATAAATTAGTAGTTTTTAAAAATTTAGTAGTTGAAAAAAAAATAATACATTTTCCGTGTTGCGAAATTATAAAAATAGAATTAAACGACGAGTTTAATTTTGAACATTGCATTACTCACTTGGATGAATTAACTAATTCTACAGTTAAAAAGAAAGACGATTTGAAGAAGTTGAACTTATGTGTCCTCAAATAAATTTGTTTAATAATCCAATATTAGTAGAAATTGAAAAGCCAGATGTTGAACTTCAATTAGAATTATGTGAGTTGCAAATAGATCCATTATAATTATCTACAAAAGAGATTGACGTAAGCACTTGAAAAAAATTACCTATTCTAAATATCCACTTTTACAAGAGTTCGCATTAAAAATGATATTCATGTTTGGAACTACTTACATTTGTGAATGTACATTTTCAAACATGAAACATATTAAATCAAAACATAGAAATCGACTTACAGATAAAACATTAAGTCACCTACTTCATATTTCTTTGTCCGAAATAGAAGTCGATTTTGACGCGTTGTCATTAAAAGCTGCCCATATTCAAAACTAACACTAAACACATGCCTAATTATAGTTAATTAAATTATTTTTAATAATCCTGTTTTTATTATTACACAGGGGCGTCTTCAGATATTTTTCGCCTATAGGCATTTCAAAATTTGTCGCCCTTCATTACGGTACTGGAGGGGAGGTAATTTTCTCTTTACGCCATATCACTACTAATTCCCTCTCAAAAAAAAAAGTATTTAACAATATTTTTCAAGCAAATCTTTGTTTATTAATAAATCATAAAAAAGGCATTATAATTAATATATTATATTATTAACATGAGTAATACGTGGTAGATAATAAAAAACCCAGAACAGTGGGGACGTGGCATAGTTGGATCAAGTATAATGATATCTGACAATGATTAAAATCACTATCATAAAAAACGGTTTGATGCAAATCTTTAGATAGTGTTTAATTTTTAAAAATTGGTGGATTATTCCAAAAGCTATATGATCTATTTCCTTATTTATATCCTGATTACAAGTTTTATGATTTATAAGTGTAATATATGAATATATATATATATATATATATATATATATATATATTTATAAT